TCAGCGCCCAGCAGCTGGCCGGCTTCCGCCAGTACAAGGTAAGCCTAGCCCCGGGGCACCCCCTTCCCCTCTTTGCCCCCGACCCCTGTTCCACCGGGAGGGGTTGCACCCACGAGCCTGGCCGGGGCAGCCAGGGGGGCTTCGGCTTTGGGGACCGGGCGTCTCCCTCCGCTCAGCCTCGGCTTTGCCCTGCCCGTCCTTTCTCTCCCTGGTCCTGAAAGCCTTGGGGCGGCTGGGAGATGCCCTGCTGCCCGCTCCCACGGCACAGAGCAGACAACTGCTGGCTGAGGTTGTTTATCAGGTGGTGGATGTGTGTCATCACCAGGGATCCTGGTTTTCTCCGATTTAAAAACAATCCCCAGTTTTCGGGTTTAAAAAAAAAGGAACCCCAAAGCCACATTTTCCCATGATCAAAATGAAACACCATGAATAGATAGAGACATATATAGTGGTGTACATAAATAGTGTACATATCTAGTCGTGTACAACTTGGATACCTGACTATATAGTGGTGTTTCATTTTGATCATGGAACAAATGTGGATTTGCGGTTCCTTTTTTTTAACCAAAAATTGGGGATTTTTTTTCTCAGAGAAAACCAGGATCTCTGTCATCACCTGACTGGAAGGCATCTGCAGCAGATCAAACTAGAGCAGATAAAAGTGTGCAGATGCAAATAAGGAAGCACATCAGCCTGTTTTTTCTTTCTTTCAGCTTCTCCCATTTGAATGTGTCGGGTCCCAAAGCTCCCTCTCTCCTTGAAGTCATTTATTTTCTCTCATAGAAGCAAAACATCATTCACACCTGGCTCTGTTGACTGCAGTGATGCTTGTAGTCATCTTGCAGTCCCACAGAACCCCTTTCTGGTTTGCCCTATTGAAAGTGTGTGTGCGGACGCATCCGTCTGTACAACAGGGCATCCTAACTTAATAAGGTAAAATACTCCCCTTGGAATTGTTGACTGAGTTGGACACTGAAGGGAAGTAAGGTGGATAGGTACAGGATGCTAGTGAGGAACTGAATGGGACCCAGTGCTTGCTTCAGAAAGAATAACTAGTGAGGAACTGAATGGGACCCAGTGCTTGTTTAAGAAAGAATACCAGCCACTTTTTACATATCCAAACAAAATGAAACAAAACTCAAAAATATGTAAAAAAAAGGGGGGGGGCAGTGGGAGGGGAAATAAATAGTCATAGAGAAGCAGAGCTGTAAGGGACCCTCAGAGGTCATCTAGTCCAGTGTTTCTCAACCTGTGGGTTGTGACCCAAAAGTGGGTCGCAGGAGTATATAAAAGGGTTACACAGAAACTTTAAAAATGGATTTTGCTTTAAAGAAGAAAAACATGGGAAACCATGGCTTTTGCTTTTCAGGCTGGTAGAGTTTCAGCAAGGGGCTGCTTGCGGCACCCCTGCCCCACACACCCACCCACTGGCCCACACACTTGGCAGGTCAGGAGTGAGGGGCACTGGGTCGAGACTGGCCATCAATATTTACAAATGGGTCCTGGTACAAAAAAGGTTGAGAACCACTGATCTAGTCCAACCCCCTGCCTGAGGGGGAAATGTGGTAGAAAAGGTTAAAAACAAATATTTCTGTAAGGAACATTGTATCAGCAGCAGGGGGGAGTACATTTGAGGATGCACCTGGACAAAGTAACAAGTATGGGTGTTTGCAGAATATTTAAATAGAATATAAGTAAAGGGCTTCTTTGTTTGTTACCGTGCATCTAATTTTTTTTGAGTTTGCAAACTGTTTAGAACAGGCCTTGTGCATTCGTATAAGTACACAACAATGGAATGAGAGTCTTGCCTGAAATTGTTGGAATATTTATATAAAACTAAGTAATTTCACTAAAATGTATTTTAAGCCTCTTCAGAACTTTATTTGGATTAAATCCCGTTCCACTGATTTCAGTAAGTTTGCCTTGAATATAATGAGCTGCAAAGAAATATATATGGGTAAAAGATCTGAAAATAATTTTCTTTAAATTATAGTGTAAGCATTTCATAGCACTAATTAACCACAAGGTGTATCACATGATCCTTAAAAAGAATGAACCCACACATGGAAACATTTTTTTGTTAAAACAATTTCAGACACCCAAGAATATTGGCAGAGCTGGAAAATATTTTAGATATTTTTTTCTAACCATAGGAGTCAACCAAGGTAGATGAGAAATAACTATTAGATCTTGTTGAGGCCAAGTATAACAAACTCCATTTTTACAAATGTAATATTAATAGCCAGCTAAAATGAAAATGTGTCCAGCCAGTTCTATTGCACAATAGTAAACCTTAAATGAAAAGCAGTATTTGTAATTTTTTATAAGAATAAACATGTTTCTAGGGAATGCATTTATATGCTTTGCCTATGTCCTGCTCCCTGTTCCAAAGGTACAGTAACTTCTTTGCATTTCTAAACCAATGGATGCCAGGGAGGGTACAACAGGGGATAGAAGACTCTAGACATACCCTGTTCATCTTCTTTTCCTCTAGAGTGTCCGTTCCTGTCACTGTCAGAGACAGGATACTAGGCTAGATAGACCATTGCTCTGACCTAGTATAGCATTTCTTATGCATTTATCTGTGCAGCAAATCTATTATAGTCTTGTGCCAGGAGGATGGCAGAACCAGTTGTTAGGGACATGGATGCAAAAGATGTGATAACCCCTTGCATCATACAGAGCTTAAATTCCCTTCTATGGCAATGGGTGGAGGTCTTGCAAGAGGCCTGAACCTGAGGCTTCTCTGGGTAATACCTGTTGTGGAGAAGATGACAGGAGACTCTCTTACTGGCAGAGGGGCAAGGAAGTGGTACAGAACTATTATATCCACTGGGTATATCTAAAATATTCTGCAACCTCAGACCACAGCACAGCACCTGGTACTTGGCCTGTGCAGAGACATAATTATCAAGTTTGGTGCCCCTGAGCAAAACTTCGTGGTGCAAAGGGGGAAAAGAGGTGAAGTGCCAGAGAGCATGGGGAAGGGAAGGAGAAGGAGGATCTTACTTGCCCCGATGACACAAAGACCTCTGCTGCTCAGTCACAGTCTTGTGCCCCTAGGCTAGTAGGCCCTCTCGGCCTGTCTGTACCTCTGCTGGACACCCATAGCCGTAAGTGCTTGTTGCATGGCTCCATTCCTTCCCTTCACCATGCCCCAAGCCTCACGGGTGTTGTCTCCTATTGATGTTGTCTATTTACACTCTCAGACCCCCCCTGGGCCTCTGGATCCCCTGGTCCCTTACACAGCCCCTTCTCTGGGCTCTCAGATCTCCAGTCCAGCTTAGCTCCTTCTGGGCTTGCGGACTCTCTGGCCCAGCTCAGTCCTTCCCTGGGCACATGGCCCTCTGGTCCAGGTCTCAGCCCTGCTCTAGGCTCCTCGACCCCTTACTGAGCTGCACCTTTAGTCTGTGTGCTCCTGGGTTACCGGTTCTCTATGCAGGCCTTAAGCTTGCCACTGCAGGGTTCAAGGCTAAACCACTGCGACCATCTGATTAAAAAGGAAGCATCTCTATCCTCTGGCAGACCCCTCAAACTCTCGGTGGGTTCAAAATAAAACAAAAGCCATGTGCCTATAAAACCCTCTCTTCCTCTACCCAGGTAACCTTCCTCTGTTCCCAGGCCTGCAGGGTTCCTTATATAAACTGCACGCCCTTCAGGAGCCCTGCTGCCTAGAGCTCCTTGCTTTGTGGGTGCCAGGGAGAGACTGTCTGACCGGCTCAGGCTCTGGACTTATACAGCTCCAGCCTGAGCTCTCTTCAGGTCAGGTGAGTCTCTCAGCCCTCTGTGCCACCTGCAAGCAGCCTCTCAGGCTACTTACTCCTTTAAAAGGATCAGGTGCATCCCAGTGTCCTGCTACACCCATAAGGCTCTGAATGGTTTAGGCCAGGGGTGGGCAAAATGGTGGATATGGCCAGTGGCCGGGCTCTGTTTCCCCCCTGCCTGTGTCACCATGGCCAGTTTCCATGGAGACCCCAGCAGTGGCGGGGTCCACAGAAGTCAGGGCACAGCTGTGATCCACTGCCGGTACATCCCTGCTCAGGGCATGCGAGCAGTGGATCACAGCTCTACCCTGGCTCCGGACCACTCTGTCACCACTGCAAGAACCCGATCTGGAGCGGCTCTCTGCCCAGCCACATACCCTGCCAGTGCTGCTGAGGCTGGTCTCCATGGAAACCCTCACCTTGCACTGTCATGGCCTGCTGCTGCTGGGGTCTCCATGGAAACTGGCTGCAGCAATGCAGGCAGGGGCTGCTGGGAAATGGAGTCTGTCATGGGCCTGATATGGCCTGTGGGCCAGACTTCACCTACCCCGGTCTAGACCCTACACACCTAAGGGACCATCTTGTCTCCTATGCCACATCACAATCTCTAAGGTCAGCCAAGAGCAACCCCCTGCAAGTACCCTCAAAGTTTGCTTAGTAAAAACATATGGGAGGTCATTCAAAGTAGCTGCTTTCCCTGGAGGCCTATGAAAGCCCAAGGCTATAAACCTTCCAGAGCACTGTAAGACCTATTTGGGCAGGCGTTTAGCAAGCGGGGCTAAGCTGGGATACTGTTTAGAGAGTGGGGGGGGAGCTGTTTATATTTTATAAAAGTAAGTAGAATATTAAAATACGTTATTTTGTTCCATTACTGTAAGCCACCCTGACGCTTTGTTGGGAAGGGCAGCACATGCATCTAATAAATAAATACACACAAGAATGTTAGTGTGTGGACAAACAAGCAAATTACAGTGAGTTCAAAGTGGGTGGAGAGCTGCTATGTGTAGCTGCTCTGTGGTATTTTTCCATATGCATGTTCTTACCCTACAGTAAGCTGAAGCAAAACCATGTTTTTTACCACTCATTAAAAGAGGGCTAAACTACTGAAGTCTAGCTTCTACTTACTACTGGCAAAATGCCACAGTTAGGAAAAAATGAATCATGTAAATCAGCCTAAGATTGTTAAACTCCCAAAATTTAACTTTTCAGCCACTTTTTAGAAACCAGACAGCAAATTCAGGCATGAACTAATTGCACGAATATGGAATCATTTT